TATTTATTCCTATTTACATACCCAGGTCTTTTAATATTTATTCCTATTTATATATCTGGGTCTTTTAATATTTTATTCCTGTTTATATATCTGGGTATTTTACAATTTACTAAAATCTTAATCTATGTTATAGACCTGGGTATAGTACATAGTGGGTCTGATATCTGGGAGATCTTGTATATGGCAGTTTACGGTAATACAAATCAATGAAAATTTTTCAATCAATTAGTTGATAGATTATTTTATCCAACTAATTGATTAATCAATTTTTATTCAACTAATTGATTAGTTGGCCAATTAACTAATTAATTAATTGATTAGTTGACTATTTGATTGGTCAACTAATCAATTAGTTGAATAAATATTAGTAAAATACATGTAAAGTAGTAAAGGATGTAACAAAAATCAGATAATTTTTTAAGGAGAAAGGGGGTAAAAAATTTAAAATTATATATAAAGACCTATTAAGATATATAGTAAGAGAGGAGAGGAGAGTAAGCCTTTGATAAAAAAAAATCAGATGATAAATGACACTGCCCTAACTGAAATAGCTAGTTAATATACTTATATGATTAGTTGATTTAATCGATCAATCGACTAGTCAATTAATTGATCAATCAACTAATAAATTAATTAATTAGTTGGCTAATCAATTAATTAATTAGTTAACTAATCGATTAATTAACTAAGTTGGGTCTGTAAAATTCAAATCGATTAGTTGTCAACTTTATAACTAATCAATTAATTCGATTTTTGATTTTATCACTACTTGTTACTCTCTATCCTGTTAATAAAGTATTTGTACATATAGTTATTAGTAGATAGATCAAAATTATAATATTCTATTCTAGTCTTTTAGATTTGAGACAACCAGTTGAGTTGCTAAATGCTTTGTAGTAATAAGGTTATATGAAAGTTTCACTCTTGGTTTCTTAGAGCTAAATTCTTGTTCTTTATTAATGAATGTATTTTTAGTTGTACTGAAAGAACTATGCCAATGGTGGCTGAAAGTTTTCCAATAACAAAGGCTAATTTTCTTATATGAATTTTTTTTCATGAAATTAGAAAACACTCTCTTCTTAGGTTGTTGATTTTTTCTTGAAAAGGCTCAGACTTATTTCCACTGAGTTAATCTTGAAACCCAAAAATTTTGTCTGCTAAGTTAATATTAAATTGAATTTTTGCACGTTGATTCTAAAGCCTAATTTTTCTAATATTTTGACTATAAATCTTGTTTGCTCTATTGCTTTGGTCTTCAAAATTGTTAACAGAAGAATATCATTCAAATAGATTACAAACCTGAATTCCTGATTTCTCACCCAGGCCAGAACTATATATGCTGACAAAATTATTTTAAATTTCAGGTTATGAAATTAAAATTTGAAGATGAAATTGTTTTTGACCTATTTTACTTAAAAGTTAAAATTTTTTGACACTTTTTTTGAAGAGACAAAATTATAAAGAATATAACTACCTAAATTAAATTTGTTTTTGCATATAAAAAATTTTAAATTGCTCTAATAGAGATGAAATAAAGTTTTTTTAAAAACCTATTTCAGTAGCATATATAGCCAGAACTAGTTTCATCAACTTTGTGAATATCCTGGAGCTGCTTGTTAGTTTAAAAGAAAACATAGTAAATTAGTAACAGTACAATTCTATTAAGTGGTGGGTTACTTCATGGTTAAATTCAGCAATAAAACATAAGGTGCTATGAACGAATTGTATATAGCCAGATTATAACATATATTTTCTTGCAAGGTTGCTTGTGAATACAAACTTTATAAATTGTTTTGTGGCTAT